GCCTGAGAATGTGTCAGAGCTTGTAGAAAGTGTTATCGGAAAGGATGGATGATATTCACCATCAAGTGCGTTCAAACTTGAAAACGTCTGCTGATTCGATGAAGTTAACTTATGATAAGAGATCAACTGAAGTCAGCTTTGTATCTGGAGACAAGGTATGGTTCTATAATCCCAGGAAGACCAAAGGGATGTCTCCTAAGTTGTCTTCCCCAAGGGAAGGCCCATATGACAGAGTGGATCGTCTCTCAGATGTGACATTTCGAATAAAATGTGGTCGGCGAGGTAAGCCAAAGATGGTGCATACCAACAGGCTTTGGCGTTATCATGTCCCAGACATTTCAGTTGGAATGAAGTGAACAACGGAACAGATGAAGCTGCTGAAGACGTGTCACTTGAAAAAGCCACTGTCGAAGAAGAAACTCTACTCAGTTTTGAGAAGGAAAATGGTGAAGCTCTTGATGAAGTTACTACCACTGATGTGACTATTACCGATGATAGGACATTTACTGATGAAGCAGATGAACCCCACATGAAGCAGAAGCCAAAGAGACGGAGACCAGTACAGAAGAAGATACGTCCCGTAAAATTAAGAGACTTTGTTGAATTGTAATTTTGTGATTGTAATATTGTACATTTAATTAAGTTATTGTTAATTGTTATTGGTTTATTGTAAGTGGCTATTTTTCGGGATGAACAATACTAAGGAGGGAGCAGTGTTGCGTCAGCGAGGTCGCGTGACTAGTATCACGCCACTCCTTGTCTCGAACCTTCGGGAATTGTCGGGAGATTACTAAATATAGGGTAGTCTGGTATATATAAGATGGTGACAACGTGACGGGATAATGTGTGTGTAGGTAATGAGTAATTGAACTGCAGTCAGAGAGAGACGTATTGTTGAAGTTCGTTGTTATAGCGTTATAGCGTTTGTTATAGAGCGACAGTTGAAAATAAGTGTATCGGTAAAGTTATATTCGGAAAGAATAAACCAGTTTTATTAAGAAAGGACTTGTGTCGCTAAAGTTTCGTGGGAACGACGTCACGGAAAATCAATTAACAAACGGATACGTAACAATTCACAGATTCTAGTTTTTAATTGGCGCGTTTCGTTTTTGCCAATGTACGTGACCTTACAGTCACTACACGTATATACATGAGCCATGAACGTATAACTTTAGGTACTTGATCTTTGTACTGAATATTATTCTAGGATGAATTTGAGGGTAGAAGTTTTTTATTAGGGAAGAGAGTTGTTTTTAATTGGCAGGGATTGCGAACCCATAAAAGGAAGGAAGATAATGAAGGGGAATTTGGGGACGGTGTGTACATTGGTTGGTGGATGGATTCTATTGTTTAGGAAATTGCATGTAATCTTCGTTAGAAAATCAATCGGATAGCCATTATTTAACATGTGTTTATGTAGAAGGGTAATTTCTTCGTGTAAAATAAAATAATTAGAACAAAGATTAAAAATTCTATCCAGCAATGATATAACCAGATTATGTTTGAAGAAGTTGGAGATAAAACTACTGAAATTGGTGTAGAGGCCAGTAAAAGTTATTTTACGATAAACAGAGGTAGAAAAGTGTTTACCTAATATGGTAATCATGACATCTAGGAAAGGTAAAGAATCATTTTCCTCGAGTTCGGAAGTGAACTTGATACTGGGGTGTTGGGAATTAAGATAAGAAAGAAACGTGGCTTGATTGTTGAAACAGCAAGAAAGTGTCATCAATATAGCGTTTGTAAAGGACAGGCAAGTGGCTAGAAAACTGTCCACGTGAATTCAAACCTGTCCTTTACAAATGCTATGTTTAACGACTTCTCTATCATCACCACATGATCTTCGGACCTTGACCTCTACATTAAAGAAAGTCTACTCATAGCTAATGACCGCCAGACACTTAACGACTCATAAAGCTCTTTAGATCTAAAATTGTTCTAAATTTTCACACTTAACTCAACTGTTGTGTAATATATATATATATACATAAACTGTTTTATCCGTCCATTCCCGCTTCTCTTAATAACTAACTAAACTGATGATTATGTTATTATATTATAATTTTAGTAATAATCATCTTTGTAACACGCTCTTCAGATTTTGCTGAAGATGGAGTAAGTTATTCCGAAACGTTCAAACCTTGTAAATAAAATGTTTAATGTTTTATCAACCGTCTTCATCTTCATTATTAAACAAAGTGAATGCTTACACTTCTGGTTGAGATTTTAAGTTTCAGAAAAGTTTGTTACTCAACGGTTTGCTCTGCATATATAAAATCAATTGCATTTGTCTTAATCTAGTCCCTGAGGGATTTTCAAGAATTAGAAGAGTGTATAATAATAATATTTCAACAACATTATATTTGTCATATCCATTGCCGAAGATGCATTTTGCTCAATCCAGAATTCTTCAGGTCTGCCGGTATACAACAAATACATTAGTGGTCGAAACATTATTTATATAAGCCATTTCATAGAACAACAATCGTACATAAATGTTTAATAATAAATATAAAAAAATCAAGTTTCTTTGAAAATTAAACTATCCCTATTCTGTGACTTCCCAATTTAAAACGTAACGAAAGCTTTGGTGTCGAATCTCTGATTATCTTTAAGATCGCCAATAACTTTAACGTTATACTTATGTAAATCATTGGTCTCATTATTTACCATGAATATCAAATCTGTGGCAGGACCTCAACAGCATCTCCGTACATTATTATTATTAGTTAATAACACAGTACAACATATTTTAAATTAACCGCAAACTTCATCATAATTCAGTATAAAGGCCACTGATAATTACCTTACAACATCTGAGATAGAGATACGTAGAATTCTGTTGTCCAAGGAGACAACGTTCACAACAGAACCGCCCAAAGCTTGACCAAGATATAAATCATTAATGAATATCAGGTCGTGACCTTGTCGATAAAACCGAGGGTGAGGTCTTTGAAAAACAAAGTTATTATTATTTACACAAAACGAACTTGGCTATATAATATATATAATAGTTCAGTTTTCAAGCAAAAAATCTGGAGCATTTTGGTAACTATGTCTTGTTGTTAGGCGCCAAGCTATTATTAAATATAAATATTTAATATTAACTTCTGATCCAAGAAAGGTACATAAATAAACCTATAAATATTAATGAACGTAGCCAATTGGATATAATGTTCAAACTATATTACTTATAATGATTATAATGCATTGTTTTGTCCGTTGGGTACCCACGCAAAGCTACACGAAGGCAATCTCCGCTAGCCGTCCCTAATTTAGCAGTGAAAGACTAGATGGAAGGCAGCTAGTCACCACCACCCATCGCCAACTCTTGGGCTACTCTTTACCAACGAGCGTTCATCTGTCTCCCTTTTGTAAAGCTGCGCACGCAGACAAATCTCAATATTCATTTTTGAAATGACGGAAAACAAGTATGAATAATGTTGTTGACAAATTTTATTTCGCAAGCAGGATATTCTACACTAAGTTCTCAGGAATTAATTACACTATCATTCACATTTCAAAATGTGACGTAACTTAAAGAATAAAGATGTAGATTTGCCGTATGTTATTGTTCAGCGTCTCTTAACATGACTGAAATGCTCAACAATTACTTTTTACGGTGGGCGGTATAAGTAACTCAGAGCTTTGGCTCCAAGTGAAACCAAGACTGCAACACAATTAACCTTTTTAAAGTCCATGACATAATTTAAATTGATGAAGTAACCTAAACTTTTTCCGTCACTGGGGAAGGGTACTTTTGCTTGTCTGGAATAAAATCATCAGTTTAATGTACACCTGCAAAGAAGTTTTGTACTTTCTAAAGTTATCTAAATCTATAAAACTCAATACGAAAAGTGAACAACAGTAAATCCACTAAATTGAATCAAGTTAGATTACTGTAGTTTTGTTTCCAATATACTTTACATATAGACAGTAAAAAAAAAATTAAAACCACAAACTTACAAAAAATTTTACGTAATTACCATTAACAAGATGTGGAAAAGTTATGAAAGCAATATATATAGATAAGTGTGTGTATTTATTTACAAACTTAGTAAATGTTAACAATCAACTTCTGTACTCGCTATTTTACGAATAATTACATTCAGGTAACATATGTATTTAATCATCACTAGTTTTATTAACAACATAAACTTTTACCCGCGTTTAATAGAGCCCCCCCCAGTAGTTTAGTGGGAAGTCCTAAAGTTTAAATACCCTAAAAAACCCTAATATCAAACAAACTTTTCATAGATAATGTCACAGTATTTCAAGTTTCTGTCTTTTGTTGCGAGTCGACACAATTCATGCAGTGCAGGTATTCAGATTACGAAAATAAGTAGCTTTTGTGTTGTAATTTTTGTCTAACTTTATTATTTAACATTTCACATAAACATATCTTATGTAAGCGTAACGTCATCGATTTAAGTTAGTTATAATACAAATGACAGATCTTACTGTAAATACAAAACCCACCTGTTACGAAATGCAGTAAAAATTTTCAGTGATGTGTAGTTGTGTGATCCGCACTTACCATCAACATATTGTTACGAAAGCGGAAGTCACATGACGCTAGTAAAACGTCATGAGATTCTAGAAGGATCATGTCTGTTCCTGGCAACTCTAGTCTTCTCTAAGCGCCCTATATTTTTGTATATATAAGCCGGCAAATGAAGTGACGGCATAGATAATTGCAGACAGAGAGATATAGAGACAGATAATCGAGTCAAGCCGTAAGAAAAGTGCGTGAATCGTTGTGAATTCTAGCGTATGTTTAAGTTAAAGTGACTGTGGAAATTAAGTGTATTGTAAAGTTGTACTGAGAAAGAATAAACTAGTTTTATTTAAGAAAGGACTTGAATCGCTGAAGTTTTTCGGAAAGAAAATTAACCAACGAACACAGAGACGTAACAATATATTTTTTTTTCTGCTATCACAAGTTCTACTAAAGTGTCTTTATAACCTACTCACTTTGTTTAAGAAAGAAATTTTATCGCTTGTTTGTTCGAATTTAAGCACAAAGCTACACAATGGGCTATCTGTGCTCTGCCCACCATGGGTATCGAAACCCGATTTCTAGCGTTGTAAGTCCGCAGACATACCGCTTTGCCACTGAGGGGGGCAAATTTTATTGCAGGTATATAAAAAAGCCGCCCGTGTTTCACGTGTAGTGTAAAGATTACCACGTATAGTATAATTAAAAACTACCATAATCTCCAGAACAAGGTTACGTTTATTTCCCTCAACGTTTCGTTGTTACATCTTTAGAAGCGACCATCTACCTGCACTGTTAGATTCACAATGAATAACTATATATTTTTTAATTTGGAGACGGCTTGAATGGGTAATGAAGAAAAACTATA